ATATATTTGGCTTTAGGCGTTAAGGAGGTTAATCTAATGGAATGTGAGCTGCTATCGCTTTTGAGCTGGAATGTGCGAATAACGGAAGAAAATTTATACCAAGAGTTTGAAATTTTTTTAAATCCTATAAAAGCTAGAATCCGGCGAGAAATAAACTATCGGCACATAACCTACACAGTTAAAATAAACCCAGAGATTTACAACGAATTAACGTCGTCTATGGTTTTTTTTAGGAGGATGGGCGATTCTTCAGGTATTGTGCACGCTGAGGTACTATTTTATTATTTGCGCAAATGGGTTCCTGAAATGTCATATCTCCTTACAAACTTTAAGATACTATGTTGTTGGATTAATTCAAACAACTCTATCACATACCTATGTCCGCACAATGGCGCACATTCCCAGTCCCTAACTTAGGAATAAATCACAAGGTGCAAAGCATTAATAAAGCCAGCAATATGGTTATAAACCTTTAAGTACTTTGTAAATGCTATCTCAAAATACTTTGTCGAATACATTCTTGTGACAATCATGATCAAGACGCGCTGAACGCGCGCCAAACGCCGGAATCCCCTTTCTCCTTCCTTTCTCCCCTAGATTAGAATCTTCGTTCGTAGCGTCAATTGACTGTGTTTAGCCTTCGACCATGGCCGTGGCAGTCCCACGGGAGTTGTGCGGTCTTTTGGGAGGTCCCTTGCTGCACCGGGTCTTCCTGTAAATCGTCCTCTGCCGTAAACCTACAAAGGATTTTGCAGCCTAATGCTTCCGCTTTTTCTTTTGGGGCCATTATCGCTTCCCCGTTAATATTTAACTGAGGGAGCCGGATAGCGGGCGTAAGTTTGTGCCATTTACAGCACGATATAGCGGTGCTGGGGGATCGATTTTCTCTAGCACTTTCGCCCAGTATTGCCTTTTGGCTGCCCGAACTGTCTTGTCAGCCGCAAGGCACTCTGGATCAGCCGTAAGGCGCTATGTATCGGCTGCAAGGCATTCTCTCTAAAGGATCTACAGGGCTCATGTATTATAAGGGCAGCCTGTGGCACAGAACATCCAGAGAGGTAGAAGGAGAATACAGAACAATCTTCTTGGTACTGAAAAAGGCTGACATTTTGTTTTGCTCCTTCTATAAAAATGGAATAGAAGGTCGTTTTACGACCCTCTCTTGTATTTAACATGGAATAGCTTTTAGATATTTTGCATTGCAACTAGAAGCCTTTCCCACCAAACCCTAATGTTACGATCAGACTAGAAGGGAGGCCTGGAGGAACAGGGAGGGGAACGCGACCGGAAGGGTGGCGGCCTGAGGCTGCCAGGACCCACACCACTGAGTAACAGGTCACGTAATTCCAGGGTGGTACGTACGACACGGGACCGTATCGAACGCATCGCTACGGTACGAGCGATACGGTCACGAAGCGCACGTAGCGATGGGATTGTAAGGAAAGGACACCCGTGTAAAGGTGTTGGGTAGAACCCTCCTGTAGGTAATCCTTGACTGAGGCTTCGGCATCAGTCAATTTAAGTTAGCTTTAAGGTACCCTCTTAAGCAAGCAATCAAACTACTGTCACCCAAGCTACCAGTCTCAAAAAGTTCATTGTCAGGGTTACTGTTCAACGCCTTCCCTAGGCCGCCCTACCTTAGGAGCAGTGGAAGCCTGTTTGTAACACCTAACGGGCTGTCCGCGAACAATATGGCTATCTAAAGGTGAAGAGTGCAAAGGAGGGATTGGGTGCGTTGCACCAATTCCCACGTGCAGCTTTTTCTCCAACCGTGGGTCCAGTGCACGGGCCCCCCGTCTGATCGGTTGGTGGCGCAGCGACTCCTCAGGTACCACGCCACAACACGGATAGTGCGATGGTCCGTGTTCGTGGACAGCCTCTTAAGGTTTGGTGAGAAAGACTTTCAGTTGCATTGCAAAATATCTAGAGGCTGTCATGTTTTCTAAGTACAAGAGAGAGTGGTACAACGACTCTCTGCTCCCTTTTTATAGAGGGAGCAGAACGGAACGCGGACGCGTTGCTCGGGACGCTCCGCACCGAGTGCGGAGGCCACGCGGCCACGTGCACGGTCCGGTGTGTTTGTCCGTCCGGCTCCAGTGTGGAGCCCGGATCTAGAGCGTGAATTCTTCCGGACCAAAGTTCTCCTGACCTTGGATGCCAGTTCCTGTATGATCACGAGGTGCCCTTCCAACAGTTAGAGTTGGTTGCTAGTCTCACGGTCAGGGCGAGTAGGCTTCGCAGCCGGGTTCAATTGATGCTATGGACAAAAGACTCTTCTCTGGGGAGGGAAAAGGGAGGCGCGAAGCGCCGGACACGCGATGCGGAAGAAAAGGTGGTGCGGCGTCTTGTTGCACGGGCTGCTCAGCGGCACGTGCTCCTGTGGACACCTGCGCTGTGCGATGAACTGCCCTGGGCCGTCACATTTGCACCTATTCCTATTGCCCCGAGCCGGGTCCCAAACCGTGAAAGCAGCGTTAAAACCCCCAGCTATGTTATGGAGTGGCGGGCCCCCTCGGGCCTCCATCCATTTCTGCCGCACCACACCGCCTGCCCGCTGTAGGCAAAACTTTGGAGATCAGATCCGGTGCAACGTGTCACGGCCGGATAATCCTAGACATGTCGCGAGGACAATGATCTATTGGCACCTATAGACGAAGATTCCATGGTGAGGAGGAAGGAAGTATTGTACATGACGGAGGGGAACATGGTAGGGTTTTGTAGTTGAGTTCCTCTCACGTGACCCATCTCCCTGCCTTGGTGCCTGAACCGTCACACAACGCACCGATCCACCTTTTGTACTCTTTAACTTTTGATAGTCAAATCCACGATATTCTATTGCAGCCCCGCCTCTCTGATATCGGGGATCCCTAACAAGCTACGATGCATTCCGTTATTAGGCGCCAACCTAATAGCAGGTCTAGAGAGGGTTCCAAAAGGTACCCTGGGAGCCCGTATATGTTAACGAAAGTGCACCCGGATGTCACGGCTCTGGCAATATCTAGCCAAGCCCAATCCAACTAGGCTAAAAGGACGAGAAAGTGCGAGTCGTCCGACTTGTACCCCGCGTTGGGCTTAGTACCTTAGTGCAAACGAGACATGGCTGCGTCTGCCCAACAAGGCACGCCGCGCCATCACACTGGTGGTGAATCTATTAAATGTGCGATAACTTCATTAGGTTCTATTTATGCGCAAACAATTACTTTTAAAGGTTATTATAAATTCTTCCCATAAACCTCTGCTCCTATAGTTATAATTCGTCATCTAGGCTGTCTCTCGCATTGCCACTCCCGACGTATGGGTTGCAACGCTTTAAAACCATCGCGCCTGAGGTCCAGGCGTCATCAGCGGTAATCGCGCTAGATCCTTCGGGGTTCCAAGGGGAACGCGCATTTTGTGAATTGGACCCCCATTCCAACAGCATATTTCTAAACTCTTGTTCGTTACCGACCCACTGAGTAGTTTTCTTGCTCCCATTTATTTCCTCCATTACCACCGTTATTGTCTTCTTTCCCGACATTGGATCAGCTTCCATATCAACTCCTAAAGCGCTTTGCTGTTGGCTCAAAGCAACAGGACACATTATCTCATGCTGATCTCTCATCTCTACATTCTCGTCTGGTATCCACTTTGTGACATCATCGTTAGGGGTTTTGTGGAAAAGAATAAATTGATTCCATTTAACAAAATCACTAGTTACTCTATCATTCGTTATTACGCCCCCTAATTCTTCTATGTGCATGAGGAGCTTATCGTGATCATGTTCACCCTGTAGCGGCGTACCAAACCTGCGGTTGGTTTCTGTCATATTATTGCGTACAATCTCACTTGGCATTTCGTTACTCGTATTTATCGCTTGGTGTATACCATTTAAGGGTTTATTTCTTATAATATCGTTAATTTTATTTGACGTAAAGAGCAATTTATTCGCAAACACCGCAAATTCAAAGAGTTTAAGCTTATCAACTGACGCTGTAGCCTTGGCAAGTAGCGGCTTGTTCATCTCCCTTCGTTGGGGAGGGAGTGCGGGAAACTCGCGGCCGGCATAAAGCCATATTTTCCTTTTAGCGGCAGCGAATTCTTTTAGAAAGTCCCCAGTGTCCCTATAGGCTCCATCTTTATCAATGCGAAACGCTTTTAGTAATGCTTTAGATACTGTAGGCTTAGATGAATCCAGTAAATGTTTTATGGATCGAGCGCAAGTATCCAAATGTTTTACATCTTCAAAAAACGTGTAAAGAGAGGGGATGAGGAAATTTATATCGCAAAGGTTTCGAAAGATCCTTTCGCGATCAGTATAACTTAATAGTGGGAATATGCGTCCCTCTTCTAAAATGCTTTTAACCAAAGCCCGGTCATATTTAGAACGCTTAGGCGATTTACCCTCCAAAGCCTTAACTGCATGCTCGTCAAGATGATCGAACATCTCTTTGTTAGACAAAATCCGCGAATATATAAATTCTATGTTTTTAAGATAATTATAAATTTCCTAAGCCATAGCATTAAAGAAGGATTCAACGGTGGTACGAGGTTAATGGGCTTACCTCGTGACATTTGCTGCTTAACACCGTGTTTATAACACTAAGTCTCATCCCACTCCAAAGGCCGGGGAATTTAAATAAAGCTTTAAATCCCTCACGCACTAATTTTGCCTGTTTCAATCTTCTCAGCCTGTCCTCGGCACATTTTAATTTTAGCTCGCTGAGTCGTGGGTGGTCGGATCTCCATCCCTGTCCGTTGTTAGCTTCGTTATCTATTAGAATATCACGGACAATCTGTCCTTCGGTGTTACCAGACATAGGCGTGTTTTAAAAATGCTAGCGGAAGTACTCAATTTTTAATAATGGGGTCATTTTACTTGCAAGTTTATATAAACGCCTGTACCGGTCCCTTTTCGTTATCCAAAACAGGGCATAGCTGTGCAGCCGGAATCGGCGAATCAAAGAGAAAAGTCATTTTCTTTTCAAATTTGACGGTAGCAGAAGGCGTTTATGGGTTTCAAGTAAGTAGTCGCTGCTTACAGTTTCAACTTTCAGTTATTTTTGCCGCACAAGCTGGTGACTTGTATCCTACGTTGGGCTTCGTAACTTGGCGCGAACGAGGCATAGCTGTGAAACTCCAAGCATTCCCCACCGTAATTTGGCCGCAAATTAGCGGCACGAATTGTTTTGGCACAAGGTTTCACCGCTTTTTAGCAGTTTTTAATCAGTAACAAAGGCTGCATAATGAATAAAGCTTGGCTCTGTGATTGGAGCATATGTAAACAGTGGGTTCCTTTGGTGTGAAGCCACTTCCGGTATATATTCTGAGTGAAAAACCTGCTGTTGAATATATGGGTCCCAGTTAGTGCAGTGAACTAAGTCGCGGCGCTTTGATAGAATGTATAAATTGATATAGACTTGCCAACATTGCAGATTTCCCGTGCTGTTAATGGGTTTGCGATCACGATGGAAATATACACTACTCTTGCGGGTTTAGCAGTACATCCTTGGACTTTCGAAGAACGGCAAATGTTCGAATGCCTTGCAGAACTGATTAAGCGTCGCTACAGCGTGGAAGGAGAATGCGTATACAAATTTCCAGAGTGCAGTTATTTTAACGATATTGAAACTTTAACTTCAAGGGCAAATGATACCTGGGGAAACTTAATCGAAAACTGTAACATAATATATTCTAATGCTTTACAAAACCTAGCCAACGGTCAAGATGTTGAACCCGCTCTCATCGATGACTATGTGAAATTATTACCAAAGTCTTCACGTTTTCACATTCTGGATTCCTATGTGTACAAAGCAGACGAGAACCTGCCGGCAGTAGAG